TGTAGTATTCATTGTAAAAAATTTAGTTAGCATGATTTTTTGAAAAAAAGGTTGTCTGATAACTCTAGGAAGATCATCAGTATTTTTATATGCAATTAATTGCTGGTCTTCGAGGTACAACTGTAATGAAATAACAATTGGATAAATTTCATACATAGTAAATCCATAGATCCTCCACATTACTTCAGGGGGAGAGATTCATCTACCTGACTGAAATTTTTGTATTTCATCCATACAGTGAAATTCGTTGTCATTGTTCAATAACTCACTTTGTCATGTCCTTTGTAAATATATTTGTACAAATATTTTATAACTTTTATTGTTGAACATATTTCTACATTAATATGACAGTTATATTCAGCTAACAGATAAGAATTATAAGGCACAACCCACCTATTATCAAGGAAACGTTTTCTAACTTTAACTTTGTTCCATCGTCACGTCTTTTATATTTAGGATAAGAATTCTCATCCAAAGAAGTGTGTGTATTGTATTTATGTGGATAATGACTTCAACACGTTCTACCATTTTGCATACACACATTGTTTGGATTTAAATAACCACAAGAACCGTGCATCATGTGTTTAATAACAACCGAATGCGAATAAGGATACTCTGTACTATCAGGGATTTCAACAGATACTATCGTGTCTATGTTTTCAGGAGAAATAATCTTGGAATCTGATTTAAGTATAATTAGAAATTGAGCATGTGGTAAACCTCTTTTTCGAAACTATATATATATATATATATGCAACAACAGGTCCAAATAACTGTTTATTGAATAAATCTTTTTTTAACTCTTCTAACTTTACTCTAAAAACCTGTGAAACCAAATCAGGTCTATTTTGAACTTCATTATAATACTTTAATTCTCGTTTTATCTCAGGCCAATTCGAATTGCATGTAATAGTTAAAAAAATATCAGGCTTTCTACAATTTTGAACTAATGTCATTGTATCCATGTATCTTTTATTCAAATCCCTAGGACCACTTATGAATGATGATGGTAAAATAATCCTCCTACCTACACTTCATCCTCTAGTTTTACCATTTTGCACACTATCAACAATTTCTTGATAAACTCACTACGTATTCCTGCCTGATTGTTACAGAAGTAATCCAATCTAGAAGATTCAACTTTAACATACATATCAACTACATACTATTGAAAAGTCTACCAGCATATAATAGAATAGAGTTATCTAATGACCTTACCTGTATTTTATAATTATAATACTCACGACAGGAGACTTGGTATCGTTTTCGCTTCTTTTGCAAAACTGAAGATACATTAAACACCAGCGAAAAATGTAATTATAATTAAAAAATAAAGTAATCCATAATTTAAAATCTTAAAACAAACCAATAATTCATATTCAAACCTGTCATTTCATTGTTTATCAATTCTTGTTGAGAGCTAACATAATGTGCATCAACCAACAATTGTACACAAGAAATATCATCATGCTCGTGCAATTTTTTACTCTTTCAATGCCCTGATGCTAACCATGTTCATCATTAGGAAATAACAAAGGTACTGGAGAGGGTGATAACATCCAAAATAATAGTACACTTTATGTTTGTTACCAAAACGAGCATAAATAAATATATAACGATTTCCAACATTTTTTGATATTCCATCATCTACCAAAATAGCAACAACTTGTGATGTTGTTGGAGCATTGTAAACTCTTTGATCCATACTTAAAGTAGATATAATTTTTATATGATGACTTTGTAAATTAGGAGTATTAGTTAAACTTCTAAAGAATTTTGCTTAAAGATTAATTTATAAGATGTGAAGTAATTTCTCAATAATTGATTGAGACAATCCATCTAATATTTTCAATCAATTTTGTATCTCATTCTCAGTGTCATAAAAATAATGCTGTAAATAAGAAGGCTTAGAATCTATAGGAAGAAGATTATTCAGGTAATGTTATATCTGTCCCTGAATTCTAAAAGTATATATTCATTTGTTCATTCTACATAAATCTTTATCATATTTTACTCCAAATGAAGTAAATGAAAAACTACAATTGTAAGTTCGAATATAAGTCATAAAATCAACCGATTCATCGGATGGGGATGTAAATAAATCATACAATTTTGGAGGCACATCATTTATCTTTAATTGAACGATTCCATCAAAACAACAAAAATCTTTACTTTCTTTTTTAAATTTCTTTGCTTCACAAAAATTGCAAACTATTGGAAGAGGTAGCAAATAACTCTGGATTGGAATTTGTTATAAAATGTGTACATTTGAACTACTTTCTTTTGATGAAAAAGCAATACCTAACAAATGTGCAATTTGCAATTAATTCCAATATATAAACTTCAACTTGAAAAAATCAAGTGAAAATATAACACATCTCTGTTGGTTTCTTCAAGAATACTTCTAAATCCCTCAAATTGACAAACATGATTATCTATAAAGCAAATATAAGAAAAATTTAAATTGAAAATATATATAATTACACAAAAGACGAAATTTATAGAAATACCCGTTTTTTGTGCTTTTCTATCACGAAATGTCACTGCTCTTATTTTCAGTTGATGTTTTTGTCGCGATTCTCGTGCTTGGGTGTATACTTCTCGTTGACGTGAATTTCAAGCTTCTTTGTCGCAGAATCCATTACACAAACAACTAAACACAAAAAATAAATAACAATTTTAATCATTATATATACTACAGGAATTAATTCATGAAGGTAATTAAATTTTTGATTTTGATTCTTTCAATCTTAGCTCCAGAGTCCGTACAGCATGGAGAAAACCTCCACTATGTGCAGAGTGGAGTCTCCACTGTGCGTTGTGTAGGTGCTTACACGTGGATTGAATGTGTTCCTTTTAAAACTTTTCACTTAATCCAATGTATTCAACTGTCCAAAATCATTTACAATCCTCCCAATAAGTCTGTTGGAAAAATTGCAATATGCAATTAGTCATAACACACAAAGAAAGAATCCCAATCAATCACCTTTCCTTTCACTATTTTTAACTCCAATAATAAATATAGAACGATCTAATTCAACAAATTGATCACTACCTAAAAAACTATGATCCTAGGTCTACAAAACAAATCAATATCAATTACCTGGTCTTTTCACGAAGCGTCTAAAAGTTTAGTGAACACAAATAACATTTACCCAATAAAAATTAATTAGTAAAATATATAGAACATGAAATAGAGTCAACTTCACAATAGATAATATAAGAATTATAATTTGTAAGAATGTGTGACTCAAAATAAGATTTTTTAAAGCTATCTAGAAAATTAATTTTATTCACATAAAGTGCATTTTTTAAAATGAATTTGAAGAAAATTAAGTTTATAGAATAGTTTAGATTAAGATTCAAACACACAGGACTAAACAGAACTTGGAATAATATCTACAGGAAAATTTGTCCTTCATAATACAATACAAGACCAAACACATAAAAAAAAAATAATAATAATAACGGAATTATACAAAAATTAGTTTCATGTTGAGCATTAATTCAATGAAATTTCTCTTATCTTTTTTCGATCAACAAATACTTTTAGTCACAGACGGTGGAGCAGTATCTCCATGGAAAATCGTGCTGTGTGGACATCATCCTCGCACAGCGTAGAGACTCCACACAGCGCGAGCATGATCTTTGTATTGTGTGGAGAATTTAAGTGAATCAAACTCAATTATTTTTGGATTTGGAAAGAGAAGAAAGTTAAGGAAGAATAAGAAGAGTACAAAAATGGTAAATTTAGTGAAAAATGGAGAAGAAATAATACCAGCACATCTTACACTTGCAATGGCCAACATCAATTAAAGAAACAAATAATTACAGGACGACCGGTTTCAATTCGATGGATTCACACAAAAAAAGTAAATGATTGCGCAACTTACATTGACCAATCCAATCTGTAGAATTTAAGTATGCAATTTAATCTAATTTTTGAATTTGGAAAGAGAAGAAAAGAACAAATTTAAGGAAGAAGAAGAAAAATACTATAGGAATGGTAAATCGAGTGAAAAAATGGAGAAGAAATAGTACCACCATACCTTACGCTTGTAATGGCCAACATCAATTAAGGAAATAAAAAAAAGTATAGGATGCTAGGTATTTGCGACACGTGTCTAGACAATTCCTTCACTCTTTTATATATGTAAGATAGTTGTAATTTGTTCTTTATTTTTATTTTTTTTTACTTTTGTTTATTTAAAAAGGAGTGCATATTTGTCATTTTACAGCTTTAATTGAGGAAATGAATGAAATAATTTCGCAATGAAATATGAAATAAAGGTGAAAATATTAAAAAAATGAAAGGTAAAGACGTTTTGCATAATAATCATGAAAGGTATAGATGTTTTGTATTAATTACCTCTTAATAATTTATCTGGACTCATTTGTATTTTTTTTTTAAAGTTTGGAAATATGATTAAAATTTATTTTTTAACTTTGCTTTTCTTTTTTATTGTTTTATTAAAATAGGAGGTATATTTATCATTTTCCACAAAAAATTTGATGAAAATAATGATTTTCACAATAACAAGATAAATGTAAAGGGTACAAGTGTCAAAAAAATGAAAGGTATGGACATTTTGCACAATAAAATTAGAAGGTAAAGATGTTTTGTGTTAATTACCTTATTTTTTTCATTAAAATTATATTTTTCACCATTATGCTCTTGTTTGATAATCATTCTTTAAAATTTTTTATATTCATTTTTTATCAAACGTTCTCACAATAAAATATTTTTTTATATAAATTCTAAAAAAAAAAACTCTACTTTTCAACCCCACGTTCCTCAAAAACTCGTTCTTCTCAAAATATAGCTATCAAACCGGGCTATAGTAAGTTGGTTAATTATTCGTTGACCAACTAGAAATTTGATGTCCGGCTCGCTAGTGAGGCTAGCTTAGCCCAATTGGCGTCTCCTTCCACTCGGTAAATGAAGCGAACGGTTCTGATGTAAGATGATCAATCCAACTGTACAAGTGTCAAGAGAAGTCCCAAACAAAGCGTGGGGTTGAAATTCATTCACGAAAGAAAAAGGGCTTTGGAATTTGGATAAAAGGAAAAGGGCACTGGAAAAAGGCTTCAAAAAATTCTTCAAAAGAATGCTAATCTATGGCGGAACATACAGCAGATGCTCGTTACTGTTTCGAAATAGATACAAATCTGTCTCCGCACGCATCACCAATGGTCGTCGGATAAGTGTGGCTACAACAACGGCTGCCGCGGCCGCAATCGTGTTTTCTGTGATGGTTGGGGCGGGTGCAATTGAGGTGGCAGCGCCGCAACAACCGGAGGAGACTCTGTCAAATATACCACAAACATTATCGAGTGTATGTACTCCTGAACAGAAGGATTGTAAGAAAGCGAGGATCCAACGGCCGAAATCTAAGAAAGCTGAGAAGTGTACCAGTAAATGTGTATCTACTTGCATTTTGGGCGGATTTGGATCCCCCGGTGAAGGACCTCTCAATATTAGGAGGTAATTAAAATTAATTTACCATTGACAACTAAGTAATTTATGATGAACATATACCTGGATTTGCAAAATTTCTCGGCTTAACATCAACTAATATATGATGGACGCTTACATTTTGATTCTCAAAATCTGCTGCTGTTAGCATTATGTTGGAAACCTGTATGTAACTTTAAGTGTATGAAATTGATTTTGTTCCCCATTTTTTGTTGGATAAGAGGTACAAATGCATTTTCCAAATGCACATATTATTTCCCACGTTATGTTTTTAGATTACACAATGCACACAAGGAGCTTCGAAATGCATATATTTTTACACCTATGTTATTGAACAATCATGTTGAATGTTCCTTTTTACTCACAGACCTCTAGTTGTCTTCAAGGATGGGTTCCGAAGTCGCCAATATTGGTAAATTCTCTTTCTTTTCTTTTATTTGACATGCATTACATTAATATATACCTTTGCCCCATTCAGTGTATTATTGGTATAGTTTATTGGATGGACATGGATATGATAATACAATAACCAAAGCATGTGTGGACACAAACTTATAATCAGTTATATAATATAATTGAATGGTATTAAATTTAGTCTTTCTAATTTCAACATCTGTTACAAAAAATGTGGAATTTATGACAATATTTATTGAAAATGAGGAACTAAGTTGAGTAAGGATTAGAGTGAGGTTGACATTGAATTTCAGTGAATATGAGTTATAGGCTAAGATATTTGCATGGAAGTACCACTTGTATGATGCAAAACTGGCTACGTGGTGCAAAACTAAGACCTAGCATTATTAGTGGCTTGGCTGCTGCCAAAATTGAAATTCAAAGGCCAATATGATGATATCTACAAGTTGTTTAAGAAAACTTTGTAAATTTGAATTGTTATTATATAATTCAGGGAAATAATGTTGTTAAAGTAGCATAGCTCCAAAATCGTTATACTCTCCCGTTGTATAACTTATAAGTTCAGCAAAGCTAAACCTAAGTTTACATCAATAAATATAATGCATGCTTTGTACACGATCCAATCCTCCCTAACAAATGAGCCAACGCAGTTACGCAATGCATTTTGTTTACTGGAAACATTTAGATGGTATTTTGTTGTGAACAGCCATTGATGATGGACATTTTGTGCATGTGAAATACAATTTCATCTGTTTTTTATGTTCTTTCGTTGAAAAGATAGATAAATAATTGCAAAGTGAATGAATTTTAATTGTGCGTCATGCTTTCCTTGTCAGGAGGTTAAAGTGGAGTATTTTTATTTACATGAGTGGATCTTGGAAATTCCTTGTTCTTTTGGCACCTTACGGATTTCTTTTCACATCCATGGAAACATTATTTCCTTTAATACTGTAATCAGATAATGTATTCCGGAATCAAGAACTCATTTAGAACACAACTAAGAGAAGCTTTGCTCTGATGGTGCACTTGAGAATAAGTAGCGTAAAGTGTTTAAATCATTGTTAATTTTTGTTAAATTTTGCTAAATTTTTTGCAGTTTATCGGAGTGCTCTGATATATGCAACTTAATTGGAGATGGAGATGATGGACCCTAACAAGAGATACAAATTTTGAATCCGTAGATCGGTGAAGACATTTCGTGCAAATATTGCACGTGGAAGTTAGTTTTTTTTCTTTGTTTATATTATTAGAGGCTCTTGTATAGGCACTTCTTTTATAGTTTTATTTGTGAATATCATAACTGTATGACACATGATACTTAGGATTGTATATTATTTAATATTTTCTATAAAAAACCAGTGAATAGAAGACATGGAGTCTCTTTATATGTTGAGCTCATGCTTATTAACAAATAATTGGTACAGACTGGACAGAATCAAGAAAGACTACCACGTATAGAATTTGTTAGTTGTGGTTAGAGGTGTATAAATGGACAGGGGCCCTTAACATTATCTACGTATTTTGAGTATGAAGACCTTATCTATATATAAAAGGCCATATGCAGGAAATATATTCTATGATGCACTGATACGCATACGTGTGTTCGACACGATATGTGTTGGATACGCTGACACGCGATATTTAAAAAAAGTACTGACACTACACATTATCGATATGTTGATTAAATTCTCTAAAATTCTTTATTTATATAGTATAAATTTAGTTTTAAACTTGTTATTAATTTTTCTTGTTAAGATTTTTTTAATTATAAATATCTATTTGTTATTTACTAATAACTTTGAGTTAAAAATATATCATATTTTTAATAAAAATGAAAAATATTTATGATAGAGTGTTTGAGGAGTGTCAGTATTGACATGTGTCGGATACGGACACGATAACCTAGCTGAAGTGCCAAAAATATTAATTATTGCCGCTCTATTATTTGGTAACTCCATATCATCCTTTAATTAATATCAATTATATTTTGCCTCTATTTGGTTCAACTAAAAAATTGGATTGAAATTTAAGCCAAAATCAATAATTAATTTTAATATCATATTTAATGATACCCCCAACTTTTTGAACACGTTATATTGTTATCTTCTATTTTCGGTCCTGAGCTCCCCCTATAAGTTCCTTCAATCTTCTTCTCACTTTCACAAGCCCAAGTTCTTGACTTTACTCTTCTCATATGTCCATTCCCTTCTTTCTACAATTGCAGGATTTTGCTTTCAATTTGTGAATCTAATATGGTAGTTTATACTAATTGATTGTTTTTCGTTTTATCTTTACTATTTTAATTGGCTTTGCTATGTGGGATTTTGTTTCATGGTGAGACACTAGAATCTGTGAAATTGGACGGTCTACTCATTTCTTCATTAGTGATTAGTTGTTCATGTATGTTTATATCGAGTTATTCTATGAATTGGTTGTTTACATTCCACCTCTTGGTGAAAATCTGTTTACTGTATAACGAAGAAACATAACTTTTTATGTTTTTAGGGAGTAAAGAGAAATTTGGAAGAACTGCTTTTGCCTTTTGAGTCCTAAAAATTGATATTCCCACATCAGTGAGTTTTATTACTGAAACTTCATTTCTGCTCATTTTCCTGATTATTTTGTAGGTAAGTGAATACATTTTATAATTTTCATCATTATAAATTACAATAATCAATGGATTTGGTGCGTTTAACTGACAGTTATATTTGCTATTTCATTTTGTGGAACCTCTATCTGTTATACTATCAGCTTATTTGCTTGATGAATATTGCTTTTGGCACGTTAAATTCTGTGGCGTGTTTTTGCATTATTGCTAATAATATGTATGAACATGGCTGACAGACGTCTATTTCATTTGAGCTGATTTCAATATGCTTTTAAAAGATTTTTGTAACAACTTAAAATACAGATAAAAAAGAAGCTGCTGCGACTCAGCGCTAAATAGGTATAACTATTTGCAGAAGTTCATGGAGATCAAAAACATTAAAGTAAACTATCTTCGCTATTGAATTTTTGTTAATTTTATCGGCTTTCTGTAAGTTTTTGCAGATCTTGAATACTATTGGGTAAGTTTCTTCAAACATATTGTTATTCTTCCAGTTAGATATGTTTCTTAGGTCCTTATTGTTCTTTAGAGTTTCTTCTACCTTCAACTATAACTATTACAGAGTTTCTCAACCAAAGACTTCTCAACGGTTTCTCTACAGTGTTAACCCTCACCTTTCTCTCAAAATTCCAGTAGCCTGGCTCACAGGGTGACATTATAATGGGGTCTCAAAGTTGTTAGCAAACTCATTTGAAAATAGGGTGATAAGGGGAAGCTGAATAAGTTGAGAATTTAATGGTGATGAGCTCAATTTGGTGCACGAATTTGTCGATGTATTTACATTGAATATATATTTTTTGAAAAATTATTGAATGTTTTCATACTTATTCATTAATGATTATATATGCCCATGCATTCTTTTTTGCAGAGGGAATTGCACTTGGCATTGCTGTGGTTTTCTATCCCCATCTTAGAAATAAAAAAATTAACTTTTTTTTTTCATGCTGCTTGTGCAAATAATTTACACCAATCTTGGTCCATTAATTTAGCAATATAAATTTTATTTTTCAGTTGAATATGTTATGATAATTTAGACTTTGCATTAAGTAGAAGGAAAAACTTTGAGAAGAGATTCCACGTGGGAGATGAGCCGCAGAAATCTGGACTATAAAAGTGGTTTCACTTGGCTAGTTATGAGGTGGGGCATATATGGTTAGTGATACCGATTCTTATTTGTTGGTTTCTATGGAAATGACTCCAAACACCAAGGGCACACAATCTGTAGATGCTGATGGTGGAGAAGTTGGTCCATAAACTCAATGTTGCAGGATAATTAAATAGGAGAGATTGGAAAGAAGCATTTGCTCTAACGACGTAGCATCCGTGTCTAAATTGTTATATTATACGTATTATTTGCTTTGGGAGAGTATTTACCCCCTTATCGTCTCAATTATCTATCGCATTCTTCATGATTTGAATTCATGACCTTTAACTTAAAGAGAAATATAAGCTGAATCTTAATACCAATTAAACGATTCGATCTCTGTGCCCAAGTTATTATGTCATATATACTATCTGTTTTGGTAGAGCATTTACCCACTATTACCTCTCCGACCACCAATCGAGTTTCTCACAATTCAAACTTAAAATCTCTAAATTAGAGAAATTTAAGTTGAATCTTAATACCAATTGAACAATTTGACCTGTGTCTAAATCGTTATATCATATGTACTGTCATCTTTGAGAGTTTATTTGCTCTCTTATTGCTTAAAATTTTTCATCATATTTACCAAAATCTAAACCCAGGATCTCTATATTATGAGAGATTTAAGTTAAATCTTGTTAATAATTAAGTGGAGTCCATGATGATTTGAGAATCAGATTTCAATAAAGCATTGCATGTATGATAGCGATGGTATGCGGTCCAAAACATTGTGGATCATCTTCAATTTTTTTGTACATCTTTGGTAGCTTAGAATCCATTATCATGTAGGTAAGTGCACCTAAGCTAGTTTCTATACTCAAGATAGAGGACAAAATTTAGGACTAGTAAGGTCCAATAAAATCCAGCAAATATGTCAACCTTGAATTTTAAGTCTTATGTAATTTTGATAATTTCAACAATACACAGATAAGTATATTTTAAATCCATTTTATGATAAAAGAGTACATAGACCTTGGACATTTTGCATTGAGGATGCCTTTCTTCCATATTTCCTCTAATCATAACCTTCATCAAACAAATTAGGGGAATCCTTTAGCCATGTCTCTGACATTATAATGTGTTTGAAAATTAGTAAGTTTCATCAATTCTTGTAATATGAAAGAGATAAAGTTTAAAAAAAATAGGTCTTCAAGTTGGAAGATTTGAGCAGGTTGGATGCAAAACTGCCTTTGTTATTATTATTTTTTATTTATTTATTTTTGATTGGTAAATGTGAAATTCTATTGATCAAAATTCATGTACAAATACTCTGGGCATACCTAGGCAACAAAAAGAAAGACATACAAAGAACATGATCTATAGATCATCTCAAAAGATTCAAATTGAATCAAAACATTTAGATACAAAGAAAACATAATTTTATTTATGTGTGTTTTGATTTGTCTAACATTGCTATCGACATGTGGTCTTAGATCCTAAAAAATTCTTCTATTTCTTGCCATCTAGATATAGTAGATGACGGTCGCCGATGCAATTCTTTTGATCTCACTTTGCCAAGAAGTCCCTCTAGTCTCCTTCTTGATAACCTTTGATGTACTAACAATAGTTGTCATTGCTCTTTTAATGCCCAACTAAACCTTAATATTCTTCCAAACATGAGAGGATAAAGTGCATTGAAAAAATAAGTGTTGGCATGTTTCCTCTTGCGAACCACAAAAAACATAAGTACTATCAATGTTGAGATGCGGTAGCCTATTTTTAATAAGCAATTTGGATCGCACTCCTGGCCAAAGGATGAAGGAGTGTTTAGGAGTATTGTACGGTTTCCAGACTTCAGTTGTCCATGCCCTTTTTACCCCAGCCTGTCTGAAGAGCCCATAAGCCATGTCCATGCAAAAGCCGCCAGCTTCTATCCATTCCAGCAACCTGCATGCTCCCAGCCGGACTAGCAAGCTAGTCTCTAATTTCCAGCAGCCTCTTGAGCGGAGGTGAGCCCCCTTTGTGGGCCGTCTGTTCCAAGAAATTTATCCCTTTTAAGTATACATTGTTAATCCACTTGACCCAAAGCGAGTCCTTCCTATGAATATTCCAAAGTGACTATGCAGTAGGGCATAATTCCAGCATTTCAAATCTTTGAAACCAAGTCCTCCCTCACCTTTCGGTAAGCAAATGTTGTTCTAAGCAACCAGTGGTTTCTTAGACCCCCAAAAAAAATTTCGACACGGACTAATAACCCTTGAAATAACTGTAGCTAGAATAGGAAAGATAGAGAGCCAAAAGCATTCAACACCTTGAACCATCATTGCCTTAGCATTTTGTGGAACATCTCAATTCTGAGCACATTTCAAATTTCTGACTAGTATGATTTCTTTGTTGGCCATTTTATTAAGTTGGGATTTTCAATCTAGAGGATTATTCACAAGACACTTGGGGTTTTAAAATTATGTAGAAGTGAAATAGGTTATTATTTTTAACAAGTTTACTTGACTTATTAGGTAAAAATCATTTTTCATGGACCATCGAGGTCAAGACTCATCTTATCCAAATGATCCGAGAAAGATAAAAAAGAAGAAAACAAATAATCCAAAAAATTCAATGAGAGGGCGCAAAACGACTTGCTTTTTATCATATTTTTAAAAATAAATAATTACAAAAGTGAGATAAAATATTTTCCCTCATTTCAAAGTATGAAAACAGAATATTTTGACAACAATCATCATTAAGGACGAGATGTGCTCATTAATAGAAGGTTGAATATAACAATACGATGTAAAAAAAAAGTTAACATATAAATGCTACATCTTACGATGAACAAAATTGAGGAACTTAAATACAATAAATGGAGAAGGAATATTTCAAATGCTTCGTTTACGTTAGGGAAGAAAGACGTATATGCAATATATCTTTTATTTTTAATGACATGCTTGCTTGGTATGTGAATTTTTTTTTCCAGGATTTTTTCTTGGACTTCACATTTACATTTTTTCACATGTTACATTTTGATTTTTTTCAACAGACTCTAACGCTGTCACTAACAAAAAAAAATCTAAATATACATTTAAATAGACAATTGTATGTTTATTTGAAATAACTTATATTTGGACGTTAATTAACTATCAAAATATCTAATTTCATATAAAAAAAACTAATAAGAAAATAAAGACAAAATACAATGGCTTGTTTACTATTAACAATAAAAAAGAAACCAATAATATTATTATTCATTTTAAGTTTTCAATTCCATATACAACCGATTAAAGGTCAACATGTAATCCCAGACATACATCTTAAAACAAATCTTCTCTCTCAAATGTGTACTGCTCATATCCTAACAAAAAGAAGAAGAAGAAGACGAAGCAGAAGAATAGTCTTACAAAGATGAGAGCAAGTATTTCTGTCTAGAAAAACTATAATTATGAAGGACTACAAAATTGATTAATCCTAATTTGAACAAAACTTGACGGATGATCCCTTCCTTTTGTCATCTTCTCTTAGATTTCTCAAATGACTTCCTTTTATTGAGACCCAAATATTTATCAGTGTCTTCCTCGTCATCATCACCTCGTTCTAACCTCTTCTTGCCTCCGGTTTCTTTGATTTTCTGCTTAAGTTTGAAGAAAATAAAATTGCAATCTTAATTGTTAGCCAGTAAAAATCACGATTCATCAAAAGGATAAGAAAATCAATATTTTAGTCGAGCAAAACTATACAAATCTTCAACAACTCAAAAGAATGGTAAATACATACCATCTGAGATATTCTTTTGGCCTCTGCAACACGTTCCAACAGTCGCAAAACCTCTTCTTCGATAGCAGGGTACTCAGGTAACTTTTTACCTGAAATAGAAACGAAATCTTAGTCTATAGAAGCTCTACATTGGAAAATTTCTTCCAATACATTATAGAAGCGTTCTCCTTACCAATAAGCTTCTCTATTTGCATGTACCATTCAACCTCAAACTGATTTATCAACGATATTGCAACCCCGGAGCGTCCAGCACGAGCAGTTCTTCCAACCCGATGTATATAATCCTAAAGGTATTCACAAAATGCCAATTTAACATTAAATAGACACAACCAGAAGACTACGAGCATATTCAGCTAAGCTTAAAAAGTCACAAAACAAATAATTGTTTTATGGTCAAAGTTAGAAATAAGTTAATTTTAAGCAGTGCAAGTTATCCAAACATGTTCAGAGACAAAAAAGTTAGTAAGGTATGCAATTAACCTAGGCAAAATGCTTTATTTGTAACATTCTAGTGGAGTATCATTTTCCTAGCCTCAATTTTATATTATGAATAGTATATCATCACCGTAACAAACATCAACAGAAGCAGGAAAAGAACAGACTAAAGGCCATGAGAAGTTGCAAGGCTTTCCATAAAACCATAACAATTGGAATTCAAATATATTGACGGAAGAAACTCAGTTCTCCTAAGTCCTAACCTCAGGCAAGGCAAGAACAACGGAAAAAATCAAACATACCCATTATAATCCCATCAGACTTTGTCGTGCCTATGAAATAAAGTTGCGGCAATTAGACTGTTTAGGTTAATAGTGGGTGAAGCAATGGTTGGATGGATTTATCTCCTAATAGTTCTATTATTCTTCTAGGGCATCATGCAATTCTCTTCCATGTTAAGCATGCACTTACCCATCTGCAGTCCATGTGGCAGTGGAACTGCCACATTCTCCAATGAATTAAAATGCATCCCAAATTACCCATTGCCACATTCTCCAAGGAATTAAAATGCATCCTAAATTTTTAAGATAATGTGGTAGTTACCTTATTGCCACATAGACTGTTTATAGGTAAGCATGTTTTACAAATAGCGGTCTGGGTTGATTTATCCACTAATTACTGTTTTCCTATTGTTCTTGGGTCTCATGCAATTATCTTCGTTATTAATTTTTTATTTTTTATCAAAAATAATTTTTTTTCTCTGCAGAGCGAGAATAAAATTATAAACAGATGTTTAGACTAATAGCTGATAATTAAAACAGAAGAGATGAAAGCAGCAAAACATAATCTAAATTGCATAAATAATGGCCAGTTAACAGGAAATGAGAAATCAGAATTGTATACAGAGGTAAATGGACACATCTGGAACAAGACATTATTGAAATCATGCAGAATAAACTTCAACCTTTGAGTTCATGGGGATATCATAATTGATAACCATATCTACAGACGGAATATCAAGGCCTCTACTGGCAACATCAGTGCAGATAAGTATATTGCATTCTCCCTCCTTAAATTTGTTTATGGCTCCAAGTCTTTTTGCCTGCAAATAAATATCAAAATAATATCAAGTGTATGAAAGTAAATCACCTTTGAATAGAATGTTCTATGATTTCAGAAATATACCTGGCTCATTTGACCGCTAATTGGAATGGCACTAAACCCAAGGTTCCGAAGAATGTAAGCCAAAAGAAGAGTCGAATCACATGTTCGAGTGAAGACCATAGATGTCTTTCCTGACATCTCGGTAAGAATATGAACAAGATAGCAATTCTGCAGCAAAATAAAAGATGAGTCCAAAACTAAAGAAACAGTATAATAGTTTAGCACAGAAACATCTTACGACTTTCACTTCACATTGACTCATAATATGCAATAAAAACCCTACTATTTACCAGGACTG